CTGTCTGTACACCTGAGCGCTGCGAGCTGTCTATACACCTCAGCTTCCTTTCCTTCCTTTTTGATTTGAAGAAAAATAAATTTGAATTTAATTTTAATTAATTAATAAACCAAATAAACTTTAATTAAATTTTAATTTATTAATAAATAAAATCAAATTGAATCTAGTTTTAATTAAATGGAAAATAAAAAATCGGCTTTTTCTGAAAGCCAATGGCGCCATCTTTAATCTTTCTTTTCGTTTATTTTCTTTATTTTCTTTTTTCTTTTTTTATTTTATTTTTTCTTTTTATTTTTCCTTTTTGCAATTGATTTAAATAGAGTTTTTAAATAACATTAGAAACGTAAACTCCAAATTAAATTACGTAATAAATTGCCGCGCAGTGGATCTAAGCATGCATACTTATATACAAATGTCTAGGGTTTAGGGTTTAGTGTTTAGGGTTTGGATGCACTCTGTTTGCGACGGGTATGGCAATTCAGTTGTGCTTTTGTTTCTTCAGAGATGCCGAGGGTTTCCTTGCAAACCCTAAACCCTAAACCCTAAACCCTAAACCCTAAACCCTCCGCACTCACGGGCGACTCACTCCAAGTTTCATTGAGTCCTGTCTCTTCTTCACCAAATCGAAGTATTCAATCAGCATCGCCTCCACGCCTGGCCGTAAACCCTAAACCCTAAACCCTAAACCCTACACCCTAGACCCTAGACCCTAGACCCTAAATCTTACGGTAAACCCTAAACCACAAACCCTAAACTCTACGCTAAAGTCTTAAACCCTCCTCTGAAACCCGCAGTGTGCAATGTGGCTTTTACTTCTCTGCGCCGTAGTTTAGGGTTTAGGGTTTAGGGTTAAGGGTTTACGGTTTAGGGTTTAGGGTTTCGACATACTCTGTTTGCGACGGATGGAACAATTTGACATGTCGCTACCATAATTCTTTCTCAAGAATTCATTAAGTCTAAAAGACTGAAAATACAGAACTCCAAACCCTAAACCCTAAACCCTAAACCCTTAAGGAAAAGCATTCGCTTCCAAATGCAACCATATTGTCTGCTCCCAAACTTAAAAGTCTCATTTGCAAAAACTTCTCTAGCAATCAGGGTCAGGGTTTAGGGTTTGGGGCTTAGGGTTTAGGGTTTAGGGTTTAGGGTTTACGTCTCCGTCGAAGTCTTCGAATATGTGGTCCACTTGAGACAGCCTTCGGATGTCGTGCTGCCTGAAGAAGTTGGTCAGTTTGCGTTTGTTGACTGAAACGCCAAACCCTAAACCCTAAACCCTAAACCCTAAACCCTAAACCCTAAACCCTAAACCC